GCAAAATTAAATAACATATTCAAAATAATCTTTTAATTTTGCGCCGCCTCCGAAAAGGTTGAAATGTATTTAATATACTACCTAACGAGTAAATAGGTTTCATTCATATCTGTTACGTAATTGTATGATTGAATGAAATAGAAATTACTTCATTAGGAAATAGAAATTATTTTATACTTTTTAGTGCATTTCGAAGTCGGTATATTTTTTTTCTGAAAATTATTTTATTACATAAAGTGTGGTGCTGTGCGGTATACGGCGTGCGCCAAAACAGTGGAGAAACGATCGCTGACGAATGAAAAGACTGGCAGTTGATTTTGGGTTGCGATGCAATTGACATCTCAACTGTGACTGTCCTATTTTCCTGTATTTGTATCAATTACGAAGGTGATTTCATTTATGATTACCTAATAAATATAGAGAAAAAAGAAAATATGCAAATTCGAAGTCGACAGTACTTTGATTACCACATTAATACAAAAGTAGTACTTCCACATCTTCGATAAAAAACCGTATCTTTTCCGACTTTTTTGTGGTGTTCCATTGTTTACAACTACAGTTTGCGACCAAAAAATATGAAAAAATTCTATAATATGTGCTACGAAGCCCTCAATGTCTGAGAATTTTTTCAAAATTTTTTTACGAAATTAAATAAGCAAAATGGGCCAAAAACCGGAATTTCGTTTTTTCCCTTTTACTACCCCCACAGATGAGATAGGGGGTTATCACTTGATGTGAGATGTTTTTTTTGGATATCCTACTGTAGGAATATAAGCCGTTAGTATTTAAACCAGCGACAGTTAGGATGTAAACAACGGCAATGAGAAATACAAATACCAGCTGTCGTTAGGGCCACCGACGAACTGTCAAAATACCGCAAACTAGCGACAGGCGAATGACCGAGAGAGAGTGAAAGAGAGTGCGAATGATAATAAAAGTGAGAAAGAGATGTTGAGTGCGATAACCTGAGAGTCTGTGTATGTGAGAATGTGGGTGAACGAGGAGTATATTTGCGAAGGATGCATGAGGACGAGGGCAGTAGCGAGAACAGAGAGTGAAAGTAATTTTTGGCGCGACGTGTGAGATTGTAAAGAAGCGGGACAGACAGTATTATATTAAAATTATTAAAAACATCAAATCGAGTTAATTCCAATCCCACACTACCGACTGACGTATTGGATTTCTCATTTGACTCAAGGGCACATTTGATTACCTTATCCGGCTATACCCTTTATCAAATGATGAATGATGCAGCACTTCTGGTGTCGTACACAGTACTCGTATATAATTGTGTATGAAAGACACTTTTGCAGTTTGAAAATAATGAAATCAAGGTAATTAAAGAATAAAAACTTTAGACTTACAAAATTATTAAAAATATACTGAGGCATTCCTGCTAACGCTGAATCGATGTTCGGAAATGTGGTTTTATTTAAATACTAGGGGGCTGTGCCCCCTGGCCGCTTCGCGGCCCAACCCCCCAATGCGCTTCGCGCCTACTTCGTGTGAATGCGCTTCCAAAGTGACATGGTGGGTGCACCGTGCACTGTGGAATGCAGAGGGTAGCATTAAGCGTGACATAGTTAGGATATGATTTCGTACTGTAGAGTGCGGAATAAGCGTCAGAGTGTTACACGTGACACCGTTACGTTATGATTTTATACTATAGAGAATGATATCATATCTTCTATAGTACAAAATCATAACGTAACGGTGGCACGCGTAACGCTGTCACGGTTATATTGTACTCTATCGGACTCTATCATACTCTCTATAGTATAAAATCATAACGTAACGGTGTCACGTGTAACACTCTGACGCTTATTCCGCACTCTACAGTACGAAATCATATCCTAACTATGTCACGCTTAATGCTACCCTCTGCATTCCACAGTGAGTACAATATAACCATGACAGATGTAACCTAACCTAATCTAACCTAACCTAACCGTGACAGCGCTACGCGTGACACCATTACGTTATGATTTTATACTGTAGAGAGTATGATAGAGTATGATAGAGTATGATAGAATACA